TCGAGATTCTCGTAACCGCATTGTCTATTCAGTCCTTTTTATCACATTGCAGATTCTCGGTTTATTGCATACATTGCATATCTATGCATGTAACAGTTGGTATCGGAGCTTTTGCACGTGAATCAGGACGATCTGATCTGACACGTGTGCAGGAATCAAAAAGCTAGTTAGTCTTTTCTGTTTGATTAGGACATACTAGTCAGACCCCAAAATCACGATCTTGACCTTACTCAAAAAAAAAAAAAAAAAATCGAATTTTTTTCTTTTCTCGGATTTTACTTTCTCGCTATTCTGCTGTGGAAAATCGCTATATTGCAACATCTGAAATTCCTATTTTCGTTTTTCTTTCTGAAAATTCGAAATTTCGTTGTTAAAAATCCGGAATATATTTCTTTCTGAAAGTTTCGATTTTCTGTTGCATTTCCCGTTACTTAGAACTTCGGAATATCTTCTTTTCTGAAATTCGTTTTTCTGAAAACGGTACGGGAAATACCTCCTGCACGTATTATTATTTTTTTTAACTGCGAATATTCCATCGGAATAAATCCGAATATTTGTCATTTCTGTTCGGACTTTTTTTCACAGTTCTTGGATTCTGTCAGTTGGTTCTATAAATCGGTTGCAGTCTAAAGTCGAATTTTTTTTCGCTTTCAGAGATCATTTCGTACTTCAAAGGAGATTGGGAGACCTACCGAATTTGCAAAAATCGGGATTTTTATTTTTTTATTTTTCTCGAATTTTTTTGCAAAATTCAAACTTTTCTGTTTTGATTAGTGGCTCCTTATCTAAGTGTGAGTTGGGCGATTATCCCACCCACCCCTCCCCACCTACGTTGTTGCCATCTCTCGCCTTGCCGTTTTTGGTTGTCTCCGGGTACCCCTCGTGACGACATTGGTAAGTTGCCACGTCAGCAGGCTACGTAAATACGTCAGCAGACCACGTCAGCAGGCCACGTCAGCAGGCCACGTCAGCAGGCCACGTCAGCAGGACACGTCAGCATTGCCACGTCAGCAGCAAGGGATACCACATCAGCAGGCACCGGTCTGGTCTATGCTGTTGCGTTCACAGACAGTAGTCATGGACCAGAAGGCCGGGGAAACAGACGAGGCCTATCAGGCCCGCATGTTAGCCTAGAGTACCGAGACAAAGAAACGGGCAGATGACGCTGCCGCTGCAGCCAAGAAAAGGGCAGAGGATGCCAAACAGGCACGTCTGCTGGCCGTGCAACAATAGCGCCGGCATGACGAAGCAGCAGCAAGGGCTGCTGATGAAGAAAGAACACAGCGTCGTGAGAAGACATTCACCGGAGAGCGGGCGTTACTTACCATGGCAGCAGAATGGTGAAGCGAGGCCGAGAACAGCCAGTTGGAGGACAACGCAAACAAGATAGTGCTCCTCCTCTCACATCTCACGGATCTCCTAGCAATCTGCATTACACAGCAGGCGGAGATCCTTGGTCTCGACAACTCGGTAACTCAGCTCCAAGACCGCCTTCAGCGGGTTGAGCAGCGACCAGTCGCCGCCGCCGACGCAGGCTCTTCCAATACTGCCGACCGCCTCACCGCATTGGAGATGCACGTCGACTCCCTCCAGGACGGCGCACAATTACAGCAGACCGCGACGCAACAGTTGCAGCAACGGATCTGCACTACCGCCACCACCTCGAGTCCGGAGCCGCGCGAGACAGCTCCTAAGTTCGATGGGCAGGAGATCTTCCACGACTCAATCAAGACAGATCCAATTCCATGGTTCAATAAGTTCGAGCTCACACTGCAGTTCCACAACGTTAAGGAAAACAAGCACCACGCTTACTTGTACTTTCGCTCAGGGGGCGCGTGTCAGGCGTGGTTGGACAACTTGTTGTCCAAGTACGGAGTGGTACCAGCGGACTTGCACACCATGATCAGCTGGGATGATCTGAAGGCAGCATGACACAAGCGGTTCCAGGTGGAGCCGCCAGAGATCAAAGCCATGGATAAACTCATGGTCTTCGAGCAAGGCACGCTGCCGAGTACGGACTGGATCGCCGAGTACCAACGCTTGACATCAGTCCCAGACATCCAGACGGGCTTCAAGGCCATCCGCCACTACTTCATCTCAAGGTCATGTCCGACATTGAGCAATACCCTGACGCATGTTGAGGACACCTTGATGACGACGGCGGAGTTATTTGACAAGGCTGCACAAATCATCGTCACGAACAAGGAGGCCAAGAACCTCCGTTCATCTGCGTCAGGCCCGAGCGGGAACCAGCATCGACCACGAGTGGCCGTGGTCGCAGCGGCAGCGCCGTTAGACCAATCCAGCGAGGYTGCGTCTGCCAGTGAAGGGGACAGATTCGCAGCCGCCCGGGAAGGTGGCCGCCCYGGCAGAGACCGAGGTCGCGGCAAGCCGAAGACACACACCGTTTCTAGCCCCGGGCCCGGTGCAGCAGCTCAGACAGGCCCATGGACCCCGTACGGCATCTCCGAGTCCGCCTACAAGGCACGCGAGAGATTCCACTATTACCTTTGGTGCAATGGCGATCTTCATCAGACGCAGGTTTGCCCATTGAAAGGCAAGGGAAGACAGGGAAACTGAGCACCGCCGAGAGTGACGCGACGACACTCTCGACGCCTTCGGAACTGGTTTCTTCGCGAGTGACCAGCCTTCATTCTAAGGCGCACGCGGAAGTAGACAGTCCTCCGCTTCTATTTTCTTTTGAGGACTATGCTGCCCGACTCGTTCCAACGCTGGGTACTCAAGCTCAAGGACAAGGAGTGTGTGCGGTTTCTTCTCCGTCTGGCAACAACGACATATCGTCTTCAAGTGGTTCGTCACGGGATTCGGCGCGCGAGTTCAAGATAGAGGTTTTGGACCCGCTCACGTCTGAGGACTTTGCATGGCTTCCTCTCCCGACCACAGGCTATTTGCCGGGACCGCAATGCGCAGCACTATGCGATCATCTCCACACTTACCTTTCCTTCTATGCACCACCAACTTCGCCGACGGATGACGAAGTCGCGGTGGGGGACATCCTGGCATACGTTACAAAGGTGGCCCGCGAGTTTCGCACGCAGTGGTACGATAACAACAATGCACCGCTCATGTATGTCTGCATCCAGGTTGGGCAAGCGTCCTGCAGCGCTTTGCTAGATAGCGGCGCGACTCGCAACTTCATGAGTCAGTCTTTTATGCAAAGAGCTGGCCTTGGCGCACAAGCTCGGAGAAAGGCAAACCCGACGGCGATCAAGTTGTCGGACTGAAAGACGCAGCAACTACTCGACCGTTACATCGAGGTCGTACCGGTCTACTTCGCACCTCATGCATGCGAACCGGTGACGTTCGATATTCTCGACACGGACTTCGACATCATTCTGGGAATGCCTTGGCTTGCAAGTGTGGATCACGCGGTCAACTTCCATCGGCGGACTCTTAGTGTTCGTGACGCCTTCGGTGCGGAAGTGGCGTATACGATTCCTCTCCCGCACTCTTCGATCCGGTGCCAAGTGGTGACGGCCAAATCATTCCGGGCGACTTGTGCTTACGAGCAGCCCGAGGARATCGGCATATGTTWCCTACGGACCGTCGCGGTAGCCGACTCTTCACCCACGGACTTGTCTTCGGACCCCGTGTGGTACGGTTGCTGGACGAGTTCGCCGACATCTTCGAGTCACCTACCGGTGTGGTACCAGGTCGACCGATCTCTCACGAGATCATTCTTGAGGCCGGTGCCGTGCCGCCGAAAGGTTGCATCTATCAGATGAGTGAGGAGGAGCTTGAGGTACTCCGCGCACAACTCGATGATTTGTTGGCCAAGGGCTGGATCCGCCCGAGTAGCTCCCCATATGGAGCACCAGTTCTGTTCGTCAGGAAGAAGAACAAGGATCTACGATTGTGTATCGACTACCGCAAGCTCATCGCGCAAACCGTCAAGAATGCGGGGCCTCTTCCTCGCATCGACGATCTTCTCGAGCGACTGGGCGGTGCGAAGTATTTTTCCAAGTTGGATTTGAAATCAGGATATCATCAAATCTTGAGTCAGCCGAACGATCGCTACAAAACCGCATTCAAGACGCGGCACTGGCATTTTGAGTGGGTGGTCATGCCTTTTGGCCTCACCAACGCCCCGGCGACGTTCCAGGCGGCGATGACCAATGAGTTCCGTGCAATGTTGGACCGGTTCGTGCTGGTCTACTTAGACGATATTCTCGTCTACAGACGGACATTGGAGGATCATCTTGGACATCTTCGACGAGTGTTGGAGACGCTCCGCCGTGCCAAGTACAAGGCCAACCGCGACAAGTGCGAATTTGTCCGGCAAGAGCTGGAATACTTGGGCCATTTTGTCACACCGGAGGGCATCAGTCCGCTATCGGACAAGATTCARGCCRTCCAAGAGTGGCCGGAGCCTCGGAACGTCACGGATTTCCGTTCGTTCCTCAGTCTTACCGGCTACTATCAGCGCTTCATCAAAGGCTACTCCAAGATCACGGCCCACTTGAACAAGCTTCAGTGCGAGGATCGGCCGTTTGACTTTGGAGAGGAGGCGCGATGATCATTCTTCGCTCTCAAAGTCGCGCTATTGTCTACGGAGGTCTTGCGAATCTACGACCCACTCGCGCCTACGCGTGTCACTACGGATGCGTCAGGCTATGGCATTGGTGCAGTCCTCGAGCAACATGATGGTGTGGACTGGCACCCGGTCCAGTACTTCAGCAAGAAAGTGCCCCTCGTGCATTCCATTGACAATGCACGCAAGAAGGAGCTCTTCGCCTTCGTCAACGCGCTCAAGCGGTGGCGGCACTTCCTCCTTGGTCGAAGCCAATTTCGTTGGGTAATGGACAACAATCCGTTGGTCTTCTACAAGACCCAAGACACCGTCAACAGCACCATCGCTCGATGGATGACTTTCATCGACCAGTTCGATTTCTTTCCCGATCACATTCCCGGGAAGTCGAACCATTTTGCGGATGCTCTTTCACGGCGTCCGGATCATTGTACCGCGGTCTACTCGACTTTTGAGATTGACGATGACCTGCGGAACAGCTTCATTCGCGGCTACCAAGCCTACCCCGAGTTTCCCGACAAGTACGCGAATTGCTCCTCTCCTAATCCGGCTCCTTCTCACTACCGGATCCAAGAGGGGTACTTGCTTGTCCACATGCGGGGGAAAAACCTTCTTTGCGTACCGAGTGATCCTCACTTGCGTACACGGCTTCTTGGCGAGTTCCACGACGCTCCCGCCACTGGACATTTTGGAGTCAATCGCACGATTGACCGACTTCGCTAGCGATTTTGGTGGCCCGGCCTTCTCGGCGACGTCACGCGCTATTGCGAGTCATGCGAGGTTTGCCGACGCTGCAAATCCCGCAACCACCGTCCGTACGGCGAGTTACGACCATTGCCAGTCCCGTTGAGGCGAAGGGAAGCGATTGTCATGGACATCACCGGCCCGTTCCCCAAGCACAAGACCGGAGTGGATGGGATTCTCACGGTGGTCGACCGACTCACCAAGTTCGTCATGTTCTTGCCTTGTCGCTATCATGCCAAGGCACCGGAGTTGGCGGAGGTTCGGTACGCCGGTTGGATTCACACCAAGGGTTACCCCAAGGAGATCGTCTGCGACCGCGACACTCGGTTCATGTCCGATTTTTTGTTGGCGCTCATCAAGCGATGGGGCTCATCTCTCAAGCCCAGTTCAACTCGCCACCCTCAGACCGATGGCCAGACGGAGAGGGCGCATCAGACCGCACAGGTTCTCCTTCGCACTCTCATCCGCCCCGACCAGAAAGACTGGGTTGAGCAACTGTCGGACGTTGAGTTGGCCTACAACTCTTCCATCCACCCGGCTATTGGGATATCGCCCTTCGAGTTCGAGCACGGTTCGCCGGTCACGTCACCGTTGGACATGATTATTCCACGCATGGCCGAGAGCAACGACCATCTTCTTTTCTTGCGTCGGATGCAAGAGCTTCTTGTCAAGGCACGCAACCAGATGGCTAAGACGCAACAGCGCATGTGCCAACAGGCAAATCGCCAGCGTCTTTCTTGTCCATTCCGCGCCGGAGACCTTGTCTGGGTTTCAGCAGCGGAATTCAGCCTTGAACAGGACATCTCTCGCAAGCTCCTTCCGAAATGGATGGGGCCTTGGCCGATCATCGAGCCCGCAGGGGACGCAGCTGAGGGGCCTTCCTTCACGATTCAGGTGCCTAGCCACTTGCCCGTCTACCCAGTCTTTCATTGTTCCAAATTGGCTCTGTACATGCTTGCGGAACATGATGATTTTCCCGGGAAACGTACGTAGGATCCACCTTCTATGGATGGTTTTCAGGAGCTCGGCGACATCATCTCCCAGCGACGCTACGACAACAAGCCAACTCAGTATCTGGTGCATTTTGCTTACTGCACTCATCGAGCTGATCGTTGGTTGACCCGTGCGGAACTGCAAGCAACAGCGCCAGACGTTCTCGAACGCTACGAACGCAAGATGCAAGGCAAGCCGGATTCTTCGGCTCCACGCCACGCCCGCGTTCAGGTTCCACCTTCAGACCGACAGCTTCGCCCTCGCCCCGGATTGACTTCATAAGGAGGGGGGGGGGTTACATGCAGCACGTGCACACACGGGCCATTTTGCAGGCCCGACGACCATTTTGCAGGCCCGCGTCCGTCCAAGCTAAAAGCCTGAACTTCAGGCCGAAAGCCTGAAATCCAGGGCTTACAGGCCCCCTGTCGGTTCAGGCCAAAAGCCTGAAGTTCAGGACCTATCCCTGGTCGTTTCAGACTAAAAATGGCAACAGCCTTTTTAGCCTGAAACGAAGGGCCATATTCGATCGTTCATCAGAACGACCGGCCCTGAAACGCAGGCACCAAACCAAGGTTTTGGGGAACAGCCTATCTTTAGACTGTTCCCACGCCAGCCTCGAGCAGGCTGCTGCACGCCAGCCCCGGGCACACTTCGGCATTGGCAAGAGCTGCCTCCTCGGCCTGCTCGCCCTCCTGCAGTCAGGAGGCAGGCCGAGGTAGTACATAGGACTTCCCAGGCACTTCCGAGGAAGGCATTTCGGCAGTGGTAGTCTTCAGGATTCGGGAGCAGCACTCTGGAGGGAGCGCTGCGTTGTAGTAGAGTAGCGTTAGCTAGTAGTCTTCAGCGCTGGGCGCAGTAGGTAGCTGTAGTCTTCGGCGCTGGGCGCCATAGCTAGGTAGTGGTAGAACTGATGGGCGGAGGCCAGGGATCACTTACCTGCAGCGCCGTTGCTCCAGCTTCGTCTTCAAGGTACCTGCAGCACAGCGCCAACATCACAGGTTAGTGCCTGGTTCGTAACAGTGAGAGAGAGAGAGTTCTCTTCTTCCTCTTCTCAGTCTACCATCTTCTTCTTACCCTCTCAACTTCTGACTTCCCTGCAGTTGCAGACTACGAGAGAAGAGATACCGGGCTTGGTGACATATGATCCAGACTCGACTTTTTGGGGATTCAGACATGGCAACGAGGGACTATCTGGGATTGGTGACCAAGACTTGGTGTTAACGACATTCCCATCTTCCTCCCTCCTTTCGTCTAATCCTTACCTCTTCGTCTGTGTATGTCTGGACCTGGCGCTTGCTTCCTGTGTTACAGCGCCAGGCTCCTTCACACTCGGTGATGGATACAATGCATGTTTAGTCTGAGTTCAACATTGATTGGGCTAGTTAGTAGCACTCTGGCATTCTGCTTCGTTACTCCGAACTACGTGGATGAGGTCAGTCCTGTCAGGTCAGTCTTTGTATCAAGTCTTCCCTGCGCTCTTCAGCATCTTCATGTATGAATGAGAATGTACATTGCTGGTCGAGATTCTCGTAACCGCATTGTCTATTCAGTCCTTTTTATCACATTGCAGATTCTCGGTTTATTGCATACATTGCATATCTATGCATGTAACACTTATTCTCTGGCAAACTCAACCAAGCCTCACGCCCCCTAACTGCTAGGTTATAGAGCAGCGCGACTCACTCCAGCTCCGGCCAGTGTCGTCCTGTGTCAGCAACCCCCATCTGTCCTTTAGGATGCCCCCGCATAGCATCCTCAGATCTCTCTGCAAGGCCTCATGCCCTCACCTTCGGCAAGCTACAGGGCATCACCCCGGCTCCGGCAAGCGTCGTTCTGGCATTGGACAACCACGAATCTTGAATATAACAGTCTAAATCCAGTGCAGCTTCGTGCAACCCACCGACAAACCCTCAGAGACCTGAGAAATTCTTCAAACTACCAGGCATAACAGAAGAAATCCGATCCAAGAAGCTTCCAAAAGTCACCGCACAGAGAAACTTCCGCCCTGCCCACTGTCCCATGCTGCCACCGCCGAGGAAAACCTCCTCGGCCCCAACCTGGAACAGACCCCCTCCTCCCCCCCTTCCGCAAAGGCAGCCAATTCCCTCCTAGAGGATACCTTCGCCTTCCCCTTGTATTCCAGGACTACCGTTAGGACCGAGGGGGGGGGGGGGAAATAAAAGAAATCCACCTTCTTTTTCGGTACAAAGTATGGGGTTGGCCTCTTCAAAAAAAATCGGAATAAGTACCGCCCCTGCAATCATGCTCGCACCTCCACGTACGAGACACTTTCTACTTCTGCGACATTCTGGGACGGGATCCTACTTCCGTGGAAAGAAGTGGGATCCCAAATTTTGCCTAAAAGTGCCTACTTATAAGAAGTGGGATCTGCCCCTAGTAGTGGTGCTGGTAAGAGCAGTCGCCACTACTACTCGGGGAGAGGCTCCATCTATTGGTGGGGAGCATCACCTGCTGGAAAGCGGGTCCAGCGTCCCATATACAAATTGTATTCAGAACATCTCAGAGAGACGTTGGAGAAACGCTAAGTAAAAAAGCATGCCAGCATTGATTACCTTGGACTATAGGGGATTGACTGAGCAGGTGGTCGAAAATGACTCTCACAAAGTAATTGGAAGCAGCCTGCTAGCAGACTGAGCAGGTTGTCGAAAACGAGTCTCAGAAAGTAAAAGTACCCTGCCTTCCCTCCTGTGTATTTGCGAAAAAGGAGCATGTGTCGCCCAAAAAGCAAATCCCTCGACCCTTGCTTCCCAGAGGGGCACCAGAAAGCCGGGCCATTGGATGATAGTGCATAATCCCAAGCGATAGAGGATAATGCAGATGATTATGCACGGGCTCAAGGGAGGGGGGGCCGGGTCAATCGGGAATCTCAACAAGGGCGAGTGGGTGTGGGGGGAAGGGATCAGGAAAGTCCGTCGGAGGGGGTAGAGGGAAGGAGGGTTTTATCGTTGTCCAGTCATTGAATAGCAATCGATTATCTCGTGACTCCACCCTCTCCTGTTGTTGGATCCCTTCCTTTTTGCTGCCGGTCCATTCCACTCTAGCTATCCAGCCTCCTCTAACACCTCCTAGCTAGTTGGAGCAAAAGGCAGTGATGGCTCTCTCTATATCCTCTGTCATTTGTAGGAGATCCAACTTGATTTTCAATTCCTACCATTTCCTTATTATCTCCATTTGAACCTGTTGTCGGGTTTGGTCCGTTGTTTCTGTTCCTTCCACTCGCACTCCCTCGAGCGTCATCAGGCAGCATTGCCACCAAAGTCCCCACAGTACTGCCCTGCGTCCCAGTCTATACATATTTTCTACGAAGG